GTATAAATTCATAATATAGAAAATAAATTAAATTGTTGACATAATTATTATATATGTAATTATTTTGATTGCTACAGTAATAAGTGAAAAGCCGATCTATTAGCATTGTTCATATCGTTGATTTCATATAATGAGACACTTGCGTGTCGTAACATAATAATAATACTGGACCTAAACAACTGAGAATCATTCATCATTGAAATGATTCCGCTAGACACGATCGTAAATCTGTCAACCCTTAGATTTCAACTTCAATAAATTAGACAAATACAACCAAAATCTGTAGATTTCTATGTATTTTAATATTATTTTTTGGGTGAATGCTAAAAATAAACTTCGAAGATTAGATAATCAGAGAGAGTCTATTGTTTTGAAATGTTTCGGATAATAATTGTAGTTATCTCTATATTTTTGTTTGGTAAACTCAGTATAAAAAAATATTGTAGATTGACTTTTTTTTCAAGCACTACTCAATAAAATAATCAGCGAGGTACGATTGATACGATTCTCTTATCACATAGAAGAATTGCAATACTTCTGTAGGGCGTTGTGTCATTTCAAAACTAAATTATAACTAGAAATCTTAATAATTAACAATTACCTTGACTCACATTCTAATCAATTCAACACTATTAAAGTTGATGTAGATGAATTTCTTATTGAAACCTTATCAAATTTTAACTTGAAGCAACATAAATAGTATTCTCGGAATCAGCATAGAAAAATACCTTACATCATTTTCATTACAATTAAAATAGTTTGTTTTTATAGAAAAATTGATGTGCCCTTACTTAGGAGATTTTTTTCTCAAGTTTCACTCCTGCTCTCCCCCCCCCCCCCTCTAGTGCATTTGCCGTAAAAAAATATTTTTGCTAAAATGTGTATGATATAACCTAATTTATTCGTATTGATTCCGAAAATATAATCGATTTTTCTCTTAAGTTAAAATTCGATGAAGGCTCAATAGTATATTGGTTGACATCGGCTTTTTAAGTATTCCTAAATTAGCTACTTTCCTACAGTGTTTCAATGAGAACGATCCTTAAAATTGAATAGGTTTTTCTGAAAACGATCTAAATTGATAGAACGTGAGTCGACATAGATTTTAATCCTTATAAGATTTCTGGTTACAATTTAATTTTTAAACAAAATAGCGCCCTACAAACGTATCACAATCCGTCTATGTGATTGGAGAATCGTATCAATCGTACATTTGAGAAGCTGTATAAACTAATCAATAAATATGATGATTATCTTAGTGTGTGCAATATGAAAAACAAGGTTGATCTACAATATTTTTTTCGTCTTGAGTTTATCAAAGAAAAAAGTATAGTTATTAATCAAAACATGGGTCTCGTCAAGCATGAATGAGTTATATGTTTCACTTTGCCTTTTCAATATGTCAAGTAACTGAATTTAGAGAAGATTAAAATATGTACAGATTATGCAAGTCGAGCTCTTTTACAGATGTGGAATAGAAAAAAAACCTTTATGATGGAATCACTTTTAAGAAATGATAATGTTTTTTCAAATTGGTTTTCTTCTAAAAGTTGCATAGAGGAGTTATCACAACTAAAAAACTGCTATTACGTAAAGAGTGAAAACTAAAAGAATCAGTTTAAAACAACTTTCTCATAACATAAAATCCTTAATTCACAAGCATAAAGCAAGAACAAAGTGTAAAATTGAACTCAAGTTTTTTTTCAAATGATGAATAGCGAGCATATTGAGTTAGGAATGCTACGAAGACAGAATTTTCATCTCTTGCTAGAGAGAAGATCAGCTATCATTATAGATATCAAATAACTGGTAATATAGTTTTGTTTAAGCTTAATTTTCAATGACTTTCAAGATCAAGGAGTTCGATTCTATAATTGACTTCTTGAAATAATTGAATTTCATATTTTTGGAAAACCATCCATATATTTTGACTTGTCGATCACACTTCACGATTAATCCTCAGTTTCTCAAGTAGGCTTTTCTTGATGGAAAAATGAAGCACACAGAGTTATGGTGACCTGTCACACGGCTATTGACTAGCATTAGTGACTTGTCTTCACCATTTTACTACTGAATCGAAAAGAACTTTAAACCCACAGTCACACTTTCCAGCATACTTTTTCTGCACACGTTTCATAATGATGAATGAGCAAACTAACTTTTCAATATCAGCAAACATATAATTTTAGTTTGTTGCAGAATTTCAAGCACAAAGACAATATCCAATGTTTGAGTAAGTAAAAAAATGAGTATATATGGGTCTATTGTCACGAGAAGACATTATATATTTGAAGCGGAAGTAGACCTTCTTATGCTATTGGGGCAACAGAACAGGCTGAAAGTATCTGCTCGGACGCAGCATAACCAATTCTCAGAAATATTCAACAAAACATACGATAACTATGATGTAAAAAGAGGAAAGTCTAGAAAAAAAAACACGAAGTTGCATTCGAGTAAGAAAACATGTTGTTCGTGTTGCTATTTATGTTATATCATTGTTCTTTCTTCCAAACTTATTCTTCTATTATCATCAACGATAGAATTTGACCTTCTTTGTCTTCGGATAAAACAAAACAAACGATGAAACTCTGTACTAGATGACACATCACCCACAAAGCATATATCTGTTTGACGAATTCTACATTTCAATAAATATGTTGCTATTGAAGAATTCAAAAAGCAATATAATGTTGCTTGACCTAGAAATATCTCAAATAGGGCGCAAATAATATTAATCATTTTTTTCCTACTGACTGCTTTTCAATCAAATGACAAAAGAGAAATACAGTCGTTGTAATTTCGTCAATACTAGATTTTTAATTCACGATTAATTAATACGTGAAAGTATTCAGTTTACAATTTTGACTTATACTTTTATGAGAATAAGAAACATCCATAATTAGTCCTTCTCAGTGAAAAATATGGATGCATAAAAATATTTTGTATGATTCTCTTCCTTGCTGAATATAAACACTTTATATTAATATTTTAATCCTTGCGTCTATATCGGAGAGTATGATATATATTCATTGTATGTACACTTCTCGACAAGCAAGCTAGTTAGTATAGAACGATTAAAAATAGATGATGAACGAAGAATTGAGTCGCTTTCTACGTCGAGAACTGACAACATATTTCAATTTAAAATAAATCACTGGAATTCTCATTTTTGACTCGATTAGCTCTTAATAATACAGAGCAATCATATCGGATATGGGCCCATGTCGTGAGAATCACCGCGATTTTCGCGATTTTCTAAAAAATTAGCGTAAAATCGTGATTTATCGTATTTCTTTAAAAGATCGACGATAATATCAGATTTTATCGCGATTATGGGAGAAGAGCTGATTTTCAAAAATCATTGATAAATCATGACAATTATTCATTCACCGTTTTGTTATGAACACACATGGATATATAAGCAACGCCGTTCAATGCATAACAAATAAGTTTTCGAAATATACTTTTCTGATAAATTATTTCTTGGTTATTTTTAATCAAAAAAATGCCAATCCCGATCCATGATCTGGAGAGGACTACACTGAAGCGGTCTGATAAGAATCGGACCAGCTCGAGATTGGACAGATCGAGCGATCTGATCGGCTTGGATCTTGAAAAAAAAAATTGAATTAAATTCAAGAAAAAATCCAAATATGTGTCTCCCAAAGAACCAATGAAATAGTAGAAAATATCAGTAAACAGACGGTTAAATCTTGCATAAAATCACGATTTATCGTAAAAATCGCCGAAATAATCGGGAATAATCGGCGATTCTATCGCGATTCAGCTCACGATTATCGTTTCGATGAATCGGGATTAATCGGCAATTTTTAGCCGATTCAAAGGACATGGGGGACGAGGTCACTTTTTCCTTACCTGACATGCAGAGTCAATCAAGGTGACTTATGTTTCTGATTTTTTTTCAATCTATTGAATTCTATGATGTTGCAACGTAAGAAGCTGAAATCAAAATTACAAGTTTGTTTTCATGGTCAACTTAACTGGCATATCAACAATAGATGCAATATGAAGTAACAGATGATGATACATTTTTCTCAATAATATCATATTTATTTATCGTTGTTTAATAAATGACATATATATATATATATTCAATAGAATAGTACAATGTTTCTGATGAAGAGGTTATTATGACTTAGGTCAAATCTTAGTCACAAAGTAAGTATGAAAAACAAAGACAAAAGCTTTGTTTTTCTCTATTTCTATTGAGATCAATCAGTCAATAGCGTTTAGTACTTTCGGATCTACATATAAACAAATGCAGGGAATGTTTTCTATTGAAAGTCGAATTATTGATCAGAAAGAATTCAAATTAACCGACAAACAGATGGCTCAGACGCATCGAAAACGATTTTCTGAAACTGATGACTTTGAAAATTTTCTATTTTCTCAACATTTGTTATTTGCTCAAATACTTTTCAGTTTGACTGCATATAAATGTTCTTGATGAGCTATACCAATAAGTTACTTGAAGAGAACAACTAATTTCATATAGAAAATGTGTTACTCAAAACAAAAATCAAAGATATTAACTTCTTAAAGACATAACAATAAAAGTCTATAGTAATTAAATATATTTATTTCTTTAAAAAAAAAAGATTTAGAAAATTATCAAAAATCGATTATCTCGATAAAAATTCATTCATAGAAAGATTTTGCTAGGCAATATTTTTTTCGTATTATACATCAATCATGTACTACAATCAAAAAGATATAGTAAACAGATGGCTGGTTACGTTTGAATGAATCTTACTGATGAATCATTATTTCTCCTTCATTACTAACCCATGCACACAGCTATTACTATTAAATACTTTCTTATATATTTCGCTAGAACAGAAAAAAAACATTATTTCACCTTCGTATATTCACTATTGTTTTTGTACACGTGGTAACTCACAACATGAAAGATATTTATTGAAAAGAGAAAAAAAACATTATTGACATATATTTAGAGATTATATTAATATTCAATATATATGGATGAAGTCAATGCAAATCAGTTAAATACTAATGATAATGGGACATCACCTGACCCACGAGAAGAACATTCTTCATCAGCTTTATTTGTTTTTCAACAATCTTTAAGCGATAGTCAACAAGAAAATATACCTCATTATCAACTAAACTCACCATTATGTGTATCACAACAATATGAAAAAGAATTTTTTGATTATGTAAGTTTCAAAATTTATTTATATATAGAATTAGTTTGAAACAACAACATATTCGTTTAATTTATAGTTTCATATGAATTATTTTGGTGAACTTGAGCATGAAGGTTTATTTTTAGCTTCTGTTCGAACTATTCGAACAAAACCATTTGAAATACGTAGACACCTATCATCTTGTTACTCAGAGACAAATGATAACGATAATGAACAATTACTTCGAGCCATTATTCGGTAAGTTGCATTATTTTTTTTCTGAAAAAATCAACACATTTGGATTTTCATTTCAAATCAATCAACATAGTAAAAAATTCAAAGAATGAACTGTTTATTTTTATTTTATTTCTTTTCTTTTTGTACATCGCGATATCGAAAACATGAAAATTTCTTTAAAGAAAATTTAAGTAGTTAAATGAAGATTTTATTTAAATTATTTTATTTTATTAAAGTACACAAGATAACAACTATGATGTATCAGGAATAATCAATATCAAAAATGAAGAAAATATTTTACAATTTCTATTAGACAAAACTGAATTATCATCTATTTGTTATGTTAAACTTGTTCACGATATCAAAGTAAGAAAATATACTAATGTGCTTTGCTGAGGAATTAAAAGTTTTTAATGTAGAAAGAAAAGTTCTTTCTTTTTCGAAAATATTATCTGAATTATTTCTTATAGATAAACTTGAAAATAAATAGCAATTCTATGATTATATTAAATAAAGGTTTTATAAGTCTGTTCTCTATATTAATGATGTAAAATTTTCTAATCAAAAAATTTCTATATTTTTGATGCTTTTCTTTACCCTGCTTCATTATTTAAAAAACAAATAATCTAGAATGACAATAAATAATCAGTATCACTGCTTTAGAAAGAATGAATATCAATTGTTGTTTACTATTTCATTATGATTGAATTAGTTATTACAACTATATTTTTTTTGTAAAGAATTTATTTCAATAATATTCATACTAATTAGTACAATTAACATTTGACACGCTTTACTTTTGAAAATAAGAAGCATTCTTGAATTGAAAGATGTTTTGTTTTTTTTTGAAATGAAACTCATAAAACACTTCGCGACTTATTTCAAGGCTTGTTTCATACTATTTCTACAAGTAAATGAAACTGTCTCGAAAAATTTAATGTAGGAAATTTTTTTATAGAGCAGACAGTTTTGTTTTTTTGTATCTTTTAATATTGACTCTGTTTCATTTATTATTGTTTTTCAAAGATGATTTAATATAAGTTATTTATTAAGGCAAATGAAAAAATTCTTGAATTCGATAAATATAATGATGAGCAACTTTCAAATAAAGTTGGTATTGTTTATCAACAATTAAATCAATCAAATGAAATTGAAATATTAAGTAATAATGAAATATCGATTGAAATGGAAAATTTTCTAAATTTAATTAGTGAACTTGTTCAATTAAAAAATTTTAATAAATATCGTGGTGATCTTGATACAAAAACAGATCAACATGGAGCTTATTCTTATTTTACTACGTATCAAAATCATCAAATAATGTTTAATGTAGCACCAATGATTTCATCGGATAAAAATGATCGAGAATTTATTCAACGAAAAAGTTTAATTGCTAATGCATTAATATGTATTATTTTTCAAGAAGAAAATGGACTTTCATTTCAACCAGATTTTTTTCTTGGAAAAGTAACACAAGTCTATATTATAGTACAACCGATTCAAATTAAATCTAATCTTTATTACAAAGTATGATTTTTACTTATAATTAGAAGATAGAAGAATTTATTATTTTAGATTGAAATTTGGCGTCGTACTGACATTGAACCAATAGTTGATCCATCTGGTGGCATTTTTAAACGTGATGAATCATTTCGAGATTATTTTCTTACATTAATTTTAAATACAACAAATACTATTTTAAAAAAAGATTTTTTTCGCAAACGTATTATTGAACAAAGATCTTCTTTGAAAAATGAATATCTTATAAAACTTTCTCAAATATTTTATTCATATTCTAAACATGATTTATCAATGTTACATGGCAATGATGATAATATACCTATTGAAAATTCAAATATAAGAGAAGATATAACATCTAAACATCTTCAGATTCCCAAGATAACGAAAAATATCGAAAAATTAAATGTTAATCGTCGATCTAGAGCAATTTCTGAAAAGATAAGTCTATCAGACAGTGAAATATCACCAACAATAACAAAACGAAATCCTTTGGCGTCAGTTAATCAAAAACTAAGATATATTTCATCTTTGGTTAGTGTTTTATTCTTTTTTTTTTGTAAGATTTTGTTTAACAAGAAAAAAATTGAATATTAGTTTTATATGTAAATATATAATAGAAAATTAATTCTTTTTTTGTATCAATCTAGAAATCAAATGTTATACATCCACACTCGCCAATTAGAGTTGAATCTCCATCATCCTTATTCAATCGTGTTATTCATCAACAAGAAGAAGATTTAAAGTTAAAAGAATCGTCAAATGAAGCAATTTCATCATTGATTACAAATGTAGTACAATCTATTGGACCAAATCGTGAAATGTAAGAGAGAAAAAAAAAACATCTTTTTCCTAATTAATATCATCTATATTTTTGATAATAATTAATATTAATCTGCTATTTATCATTATAGCATATCATTATCAATACCAACCATGAACGAGAACAAAATCAATGAGAACAATAATAACCAAAATTATAAAAATCGTCATTTTAAAAAAGATCGTAGTAAAGAACGCCGTAAAAGTCCACATGTAAACACTAAAACGAACAATTATCATGCATAATATTTTCACTAAATACTCATATCTACTTAATTAACAGTGTTTTGATATCTTTTAACATCTTGTTACTTGTCAACTCTTCTTTTATGTTTTATTAAATATTCTGATCATAAAATAATCGATAGCAGTGGTAAAGCCAAGAATCTTTGAGTATCGGGCTGTTTTCCAGTCAAAATGGACAATTCAAAAATTTATTGGGCAATAATTTTTAAAAACTTATTGATATTATCAAACCTGATGTGTGCTAACGAGAAATTTATCAAACTCAATTAATAAGCGAGTTCGGTTGCTTTCTTTGTACTGTTTCACACATGTCATATTCAACTTTCAAATACTTGAATATTTTATGTCAAAACAAAAACAGGAATAAGTATCAATAAGTGAGAATTCAAAATCTAATTGTCACTGATGTTTTTGTATGCACAAATGTAGAATTTTCATCAGATCGATTTCTACATGTTTGTTAATGAAAGCAGCTACAAGTTCGATTAATTGGTTGTCAACAAGTGTTGATCTACAATAAGTTTTGATACACTTAAGTAAACTGAATACGCGCTCTGTCGAGCTGATAGTAACTAGAAGAGTTTATCTCGTTGTCCCTCTCAATCGAAATTCATACAATAATGGGCACGTACAGGGAATGCAGTATAGTGCGTCATGTTTATTCATAGTTCTTCAGATTGATAACCACAATAGCGGTGATTTGCATCTTTTTGAAACTAGATTATGCTTCAACAGATGTACAAAAGGGTTCGATCAAAAAGAAAGACCATACTTCTTATGATTTAATAGAGGCAAACAACGCTCGTTTCGACTCAAAACATGGCACACGTGTCCAAAAAGAAGCAAGTTTTTTCATAGAGAAAGTGCGCTTCAGACGTTTCTTACGCGACAATCAAGTCTGCCAGGAGATGAATCAAGTTTTGTATTGATTTTCCAAGGTTTATGATCGTCAAAATTTCTCACACAAATAATCATATCTGTGGTATTTTTCTTCTTTCGAATAAGATTAGCGAATTGAAATATATTAAGACATAACAAATATGACACAGTGATGGGTATATTTATTCAATTAAAAGACCTTCGTGTGAAACTCGAGCTATTCGTTTGTTTACATCAACGTCGTTTGTGCTTGTCGTAGATATTTTATGAACCACTTCAAAAGAAAATTCGTACCATCAAATGCAAAAGGAGATAATGAAGAAAACAATAGGTTTATTTGGTCTAAACTTTTCAAACAGCTGATACTTAATCACGGCGAAGATCTATTGGTTAAATTGTTCAACGATCAATTATTTATTTGTGATTTAAGCAAACGGATTTATATATTGGCAGAAAAACAAAAACGAACGTCGCCGATCACCGGGTTTTGAGGCTGTTGGGAAATGCATAGTGATATACGACGATTGCAAGAAAATACTGGAAACATTATTGCTTTCAATGGTTTTCTCTGTTGTTCGAAAAGTCGAAAAATTGTTGAAATTTTCGGTGGTATTGATGAGACACGGAACACCAATGGATTGCCGGCCATCTACCAAATCGAAGTAAGCCCACCGATAGTCATGACTGAAATTTCGGTAGGGTTACAGTTTCCTGAGAGAGAAGAAGTTCTATTTGACTTACGAGTTACGTTCAAATTCATTTTTTTGGCAATCTCGTCAAATATCAACTGACAGCAAACACGTATTATTATTATTTGGGTCGAAGTTGCGCATTCTTAGGCGAATATGATCGTTTGGTCAGGTTCTTTGAAATAGCTTACAGTGAGCGTCAAAATGGGTCGTCTCCGAAAACGATCGATATAGTTCACGTTCTAAAAGGGTTACACGTTGCATATACTCACCGAGCTGACTTCGATCAAGCTTGGTAGGCATACGAAAAAGCTTTGCAAGAAGGAAAAGTAACATTTCCAAACTATGAACACTATGAATTGGCCATGTCGTTCAACAACATTGCATCTGTCTAGGAAGATCAAGGGTTATACGATGATGTAGTTAAACATTTAGAACATGTGTTAGTTATTTATGATAAAATTGATTTACATCCGCATCATCAAATGCATGCTTTGGCTCATGTTAATTTGGGTGATGTTTATGCAACACTAAAAACATACGATTTTACGTTGAAATATTAACTTAAGACTTTTTTTATTAGACTTGTGCAGTTTGTTTACTCTATGTGTCTCAAACCCATGCTCTCAGGTCGAAATGTTCGATCTGCAAACATTTATGAAAAGAAAATGCGATATTGCTTAAAAGCATGTATTATTACTATTTCATAATAGTCAAACAATAACGTAAAAAAACTTTGTTCAAATTTTATTCAATTATTTATTTATTCAAGTTTTATATTAGTTTTGTAGAATAGAGGATTTTTTTGTGTTGTTTTATTTGTCAAGTTTAATAATAAAAAGGGGATCACCAGCATTAATCAATTGATTAGGTTTTATATAAATATGATATAATTTACCATTACAATCAGATCTAATTGTTATTTCAGTTTTCATAGCTTGAATAGTACAAAGAATTGTTTGATCACCAATTATTTTATCTTCAATATGAACAAGTATTGATTGAACTATACCACCAACCATAGCATAAATAGTTTTATGATTATCATCTAATTCTTGTAAATTTTGTTGTTGTGAATCATTTGATACATCATTATAGTTATTATTATTAGAATCCATTTCTTTTAATAATTCCATTTCTATTTGTTGCATAGCTTTTTGAGCAATATATTTTTTTTGTTTAAAATTCAATAAATCTTCATTAACAGAATTTTCTAATTGTTTAATATCATTTATATTTAATATTGAATCAGTAATTTGATATTGATATTTACCAGCAAAAGCTAAACGACGTAAATTTTGTAATTGCAATTCAGTAACAGATTGAAATTGAATAATATCAAACATGTTCAATAACCAAGGTTGATAATTTGTAAAAGGATATCCAATTGTACCAAATGTTGACCAAGTTTGTATTGTTCTTCCAAATAATTGATAACCACCTGGACTTTCAATTGGATAAATTGCCATATAATTACCTCCAAGACCACAAGATCCATCAGGTGTATAAGTTCTAGCAGGATTATATTTTGGTACAGATAATCTATGTTTAGGATCTATTGGAATAGCAAATGGACAACCAAGATAAAATCCAATTCCAATAACTAACCATTGTGCTTCTAATAATATATTTGATATTTGATTGATATCATTTTCACCAATAATACCATTATTATTTGCAATAAATTTTAAATTATTTGGTAAATAACTTGCTTTAGAACGAATTGTTTTCATATAATATTGAATAGCTTCATTATTCCAATGATCATTTAATGTTATTGGTAAATATAATTTTCTAGATGGCAAATTAATATTATTATCAAATGGTAATGATTTTTCCATTCGTTGTAAATATTCTATTAAAGTATTTTGTGATAAATGAATAGGATCATAACGTACAAGTAATGAACGAATTGCTGGTGCGGAATCAATTAAACCATTTAATATCGGTTTAGTTTTCATTGTTTTTAAATCTGTAATAAGACCAAGATATTCTTGTATTTGATGTATACGTATACGTAATAATAAATTTATAGCTGATTTTGAATCACCATATTCAATTAATAAATAACAATCACCAGCTTGACGATATTGTATTAATATATCGTTATGTTTATATTCTAATAATAAAGACGAATTAATTTCTATAGTAAATTCTTCATTTTTAGAATAGTGATTATATAATAATAAATCATTAATATCATTAAAATATTGTGGTTTCTGTATGACTAATGAACGATAATCTAATAACTTTTTAATGTAATTTAAATAATCATTTATTAATTTTTTATGTTTTAATGCTTTATTCATAGTGATTGGTTTAAATATTAAAGTATCACCAGATTTTAGTTGACCAACTTTCCAAAAATCAGAAGAAATAATTGTAAAAGGACAAATAAATCCACCTTGTGTTGGACCTTCAACAGTTAATATGATGGGCATATCACCAGTAAAATTAATACTACCAAGAGCATAACCACAATCATGTATATTACTTGGATGAGAACCACCTTCACCTCCATCCGATCTTTCCCATTTTGGTCTTGGACCAATTAATCTTATACCCATTCTATTACTTGAAAAATGAACTTTCCATTTTGTATATAATAATTCTATTAGATTATTGTTATCAACATAATCAGGATTACCATGTGGTCCTAATAGTACTTGTATTTCCCAATTTGTTGTAAATTTTAATATGATATCATTTGGTATTACAAATTTTATGACATTTTTTTCAAGATTATTATTATTATCATCAACATCTACATTATTATTATTGAACAACGGTAAAAGATCACCACTTTTTAATGCTCTACCTTGATGACCACCAGCACTACAAGATATAAAAGTTGATTTTGAATTTAAATAAATAGGTACATCAATACCACCTAAAATAGCAAGATAACATCGACAACCACCGTTTTGAGTTGTATTAATTACAGATTGAATATCAAGTATTGAACCTGCAGGTATAAATAATTTTGCATTCATTGGTAATTCTAATGATGATTTTGAATTAGGTAATAATAATTCAATTTTAAATAAAGCACCAGTAATAGCAATATGTATTGAATTATAAAATAATAGTTTAGGACCATAATGAGTAATTTCCAATGCTTCAGTATTTAGTTGATTACCAACAATTAGATTAGCTAATTGAAAAGATAATTGATCCATAGGACCACATGG